GAAATTTTAGCGACGACGCCGTACATTTTTCACGAGAAAGAAAGAAAGAGAGAGAAGACCTGGTGGTGCAGTCATATTTAATGGTAAAATTAATATTTCGGGCACATTCGGTCGTTAAAATTTCACCCCGGGAATTAGATACGCGTGCCACATCCCCCGGATCCTGCGGCAAACACAGAGGGTGACTCCGTGGTAATATGGCAAACATCGGGCAATATTGTTCGGGTTATTCGACACACCATTCACCGAACCGCCCTTCGCCTCGCCATTTTCCTGGCATCCCGGACTACATCGGTTTCGCATACGTACGGCGAAAACGTGCATACACACGGCTCGCATAAATCGTCCTAGCCGGTGACACTTATGGCGCATTACTCGGCATCCGTGCGGTGTCTCGCGGGTCGTATTGAATTAGAATGTCCTCCCACGACGATTATACGCCGGCGTTCCTGTTCAGGATTGCTGTGTGAAGGATTAACGACGTCGCGAGGATCACCACGATGACCACGCTGGATTATCGCGTTTACTCAATGAGTTTCTATCATCAGTAAAGTAATTGCGAGATAGCGCTACGATTTTGAGAGAAATTTGATTCGCTCAGAACGTCGTGGCACTTAGTTTCAGTTCCATCAAATCATTTTATTAATATTGATTTACCAATTAGTGATTTTTCCAATTGATTTACTGCTTAGTATACGTATGTACATAATAATTTACTAAGAAATAATAGTAACCTTTACTAGTAAATCGTATATTTCCGAGTACGCGACAAGACAATAAACATTAATTTATACCAGTTAGCTCAATCAACTTTTGCATAGACTTCGGTACAAAGGTGGCATTTCGCGGAGGAGTCGCGCGCCGCGTTTATCGTACTCTTAAGAAATGCAGAACGAGATGTTTCCGTTTGAAACCTCAAGCGCACACAGATCAGCGAATACGGAGTCACGGACGGACGCACCTGTTATGAATGTTCCAACATTCAATATCGCGATATCAAAGAGCACTGCGAGATCCCGCACGAAGGAATTCCCTTTAGTCCTACCGACAAAGAAAGTGAGGCATACAAACTCCAAGGAAACGAACGAAACGAAACGTTCTGTTGGAAATTGCCAAGAATTTCTCCGCTACGTGACGCTTACTAAAATTTCAATCGCGCAGAGTAACATTTTAAATAAACTAATGGAGCCAAGGTCATGATCAGCAGCAATTTCATCAAAAAAAGTAACAATATAATTTCCTACACCTTCACCTTTCATACCTTTTTAGACAAAGCTACGTTTAATGCATCATATGATTAATCGAATTCCTAGTAGCACAGTGCATTGGCTAAACCATAGACATAGTAAACAGAGACTGAGCGTCCTATTGAATAAGCTGAAGTTTGTGAAGAGAGAGAGAGAGAGAGAGAGAGAGAGAGA